TAGGGACACATGAGATGTCCAAGGAACTGTTAACTGAGGACAACTTCCTGGAAACTATGTACAAGTCCACAGGAGGGTTTTTTTTTTCTCTCTTCTTGGAGAGCTCTCCAGCCTCCCCTGGTGTAGCACCCCAAACCCCAGATAGTCCTTCTCTATCCAGCAATCTTAGGGCTTTCCCCAGACAAAGGGATCTGGTATCTGCCACCTTAAGAGCACAGTCCAGCTGGAGGCTTGTCAGGTTTCCCACTCCAAATGCCCTCTCCCTTCTTTCTGGTCCAGGGGCATAGAAGTACTCACTGTTCCTCTACTGCAAGCTGTAGGTTGGTAGCTGCCTTCAAGCTTTCTGCTGAGCTGGCTCCTTTCTTAGCTCCATGGATGGTTCTCTCTCAGCTGCAGTTTTCCCTCTGTCCTGATCCCACCTGGAGGCAGGTCCCTTACCACCGGGCCCCGTCCTAGGCTCCACCCTCACCTCCTGCTCTCACATCTTCCACCCAAACTCTCTCTGCTATTGAGCAGGCTCACCTATCCTTAAGGGCTACCCCAACCCCTTGCCAAGCCTCCTGCTTGGGGATTGGTCAGGGTTCCTTAAGCATACAGATCAGCCACTCCTCACATCCACCCACTGAGTTCTAGAGACTTTTCCAAGTCTCTAGATCAGAGGGAGGTACCAGAGGGCTGACCTGCAAAGCCTCTCAGCCCTTCCCCAAATTGAAACTCTCTGATTGTCTCCACAGCTGATACTCAGCCTCCTATCTAAAAAATATTTAACTTACCTCCCCTAGCTACCTAAAAGAGTGCTACAAGAAGAAGTTGGAGATACAGTTAGGTCAATATAAATTATATTTGGACACAGGCACAATTTTAGTTTTTTCAGGTATTTCCCAAAACATATTCAAGCTATAGTTATATAATGGATATGGACTGAAAGTACATACTCTCAGGTTTCTTTTGAGGGTATGTACATGCAAATTGGAGGAAGGGTTTAGGAATTACAGCTCTTAAGCGTAGCTGCCCCTACTTTTTCAAGGGACCAAACGTAATTGGACAATTGAATCAAAAGCTGTTTAATGGCCAAGTGTGGGCTACTCCATTATTTCTTCATCAATTAAGTAGGTAAGAGGTCTGGAGTTGATTCTAAGTGTGCTATTTGTATTTGGAATCTATTTCTGTGAACCTACATCAGGTGTTCAAAGGAGTTGTCCATGCAAGTGAAACAGCCCATTGTAAGGCTTAAAAATTGAAACAAATCCATCAGAGAAATAGCAGCAACATTAGGAGTGGCCAAATCAACAGTTTGGTAGATTCTGAGGAAAAAAGAATGCACTGTGAGCTCAGAAACGAGAAGGACGGGAAGAAAAAAGTGTGGAGAAGACTTGGAACAGCTCACGATCCAAAGCACACAACGTCACCTCTAAAACATGGTGGAGGCAGTATGATGGTATTGGCATGCATGGCTTCCAGTGGCACTGGGTCATTGGTGTTTATTGATGATGTGACAGTAGACAGAACCAGCTGAATTAATTCTGCAGTGTTTAGAAATATACTGTCAGCCCAGTTTCAGCCAAATTCAGAAACGTTGATTGGATGGCACGTCACAGTATAGATGGACAATGATACAAAACACACTGCAAAAGCAACCCAGGAGCTTTTGAAGGAAAAGTAGTGGAATATTCTGCAATGGCCGAGTCAATCACTTGATCTCAAGTCTATTGAGCATGCATTTCAATTGCTGAAGGCAAAAGTAATAGCAGAAAGACCCACAAAGAACAACTGAAGACAGCGGCAGTTAGAGCCTGGCAAAGCATCAGAAAGGAGGAAACCCAGTCTTTGGTAATGTCCATGGGTTCTAGACTTCAGGCAGTCATTGCCAGTAAAGGATTCTCAACAAAATGTTAAAAATTAACATTTTATTTATGATTATATTCATTTGTCCAATTGCTTTTGAGCCCCTGAAAACGGAGGGACTATATATAAAAAATGGTTGCAGTTCCTGTAATTTGTACTTGATATTTATGCTCAACCCCTTAAATTAAAGCCGAAAGTCTGCACTTCAAATTCATTTGGATTGTTTCATTTTAATTTATTCTGGGGGCATACAGAGCCAAATGTATGAAAATTGTGCCTGTGTCCAAATATATATGGACTTAACTGTATGTATATCATCACAGTAGTCACATTGAATCCTATAAAATATGTCAACCACCAGTGTGTACATCTAAGGCTAGCCATAGACAGATTGAAATTTGGTTGGTTCAGCAGGGACCAGCCAAACATACAGTCAGGTCCATAAATATTGGGACATCGACACAATTCTAACATTTTTGGCTCTATACACCACCACAATGGATTTGAAATGAAACGAACAAGATGTGCTTTAACTGCAGACTGTCAGCTTTAATTTGAGGGTATTTACATCCAAATCAGGTGAACGGTGTAGGAATTACAACAGTTTGCATATGTGCCTCCCACTTATTAAGGGACCAAAAGTAATGGGACAGAATAATAATCATAAATCAAACTTTCACTTTTTAATACTTGGTTGCAAATCCTTTGCAGTCAATGACAGCCTGAAGTCTGGAACGCATAGACATCACCAGAAGACGCTGGGTTTCATCCCTGGTGATGCTCTGCCAGGCCTCTACTGCAACTGTCTTCAGTTCCTGCTTGTTCTTGGGGCATTTTCCCTTCAGTTTTGTCTTCAGCAAGTGAAATGCATGCTCAATCGGATTCAGGTCAGGTGATTGGCTTGGCCATTGCAGAACATTCCACTTCTTTCCCTTAAAGAACTCTTTGGTTGCTTTTGCAGTCTGCTTTGGGGTCATTGTCCATCTGCACTGTGAAGCGGCGTCCAATGATTTGTGAAGAATTTGGCTGAATATGAGCAGATAATATTCCCGAAACACTTCAGAATTCATCCTGCTGCTTCTGTCAGCAGTCACATCATCAATAAATACAAGAGAAGCAGTTCCATTGGCAGCCATACATGCCCACGCCATGACACTACCACCACCATGCTTCGTCTTCCGGGTCTTTTGGTGTTGCTGAGCTCACCGGTGCGTTCCTTCTTTTTAAGAATGTTCCAAACAGTTGTTTTGGCCACGCCTAATGTTTTTTGCTATCTCTCTGATGGATTTGTTTTTTTTTTCAGCCTAATGATGGCTTGCTTCACTGATGGTGACAGCTCTTTGGATCTTATCTCGAGAGTTGACAGCAACAGATTCCAAATGCAAATAGCACACTTGAAATAAACTCTGGACCTTTTATCTGCTCGTTGTAATTGGGATAATGAAGGAATAACACACACCTGGCCATGGGACAGCTGAGAAGCCAATTGTCCCATTACTTTTGGTCCCTTAAAAAGTGGGAGGCACATATGAAAACTGTTGTAATTCCTACATCGTTCACCTGATTTGGATGTAAATACCCTCAAATTAAAGCTGACAGTCTGCGGTTAAAGCACATCTTGCTTGTTTCATTTCAAATCCATTGTGGTGATGTATAGAGCCAAAAATGTTAGGATTGTGTTGATGTCCCAATATTTATGGACCTGACTGTAGATCTGTGTGTGGGTGTCCCTGTTCGACCAAAATCGAACAAGCTAGAAAATCTTTGTCAGTTGGCCACTGCAGTGTATTTTGACAGCAGAGAGTCCGGCTTTCAAATACAATATCCTGGTGTCAGAGAGGATTCCTCCATTTACCTCATTTGTGTGGCTGGAGAAAGCTGTTCAGCAGCCTGAACAAAAAAATAGAACCATTAGCTTAAATATGTCTACCAGGTCACCAGAGAGGAAGAGGCAAGGGGAGAAAATGGGAACAGAGGAGATGCCAACAATATTATATGGGAGAGCAAAGTGTATAACCTACATCTAATCCTATTGGCCCCAACCTTTCAACTAACTGTAGTATTCTGATGATACAGGGCCACTGTCAACCAGAACAATTCTATGGATCATACAAACTGATTGTAGAATAACTTTTTATCCAAGGTTATATAATTCCAGCACATAAGGAGTGTCCAAAAACCTGTCTGGGGTATGGGCCACTAAAGCAATGACTCACCACAAGGAGATAGCCTAGGTATATTTATCTGCAGCCCCTTCACATGTCCACAAACCACACTGACCATATTTTGTTTCATTGTTTCCTTATGCTGCCCATACAATCGGCAATTTTGCTGTAATTCTGTTGCTTCCCATCAGATTTCAGTTACAGGAATTGATTGAAAATAGCCTTTTGACTGGCATAGGAATATATTTTAGTTACTCTGCATTTTTAGTTGCTTGTTCGAAACAAAAAGTAAATGGAACCATGGGTGGCAGATTGCATGGTTGAAATGTGATGAAAGGCAATGAATTGGGATAAATTAACCACTTGCCTACTGGGCACTACTACCCCCTTCCTGTCCAGGCCAATTTTCAGCTTTCAGTGCTCTCATGAAAATTGTGTGGTCATGCAACATTGTACTCATATGGCATTTTTATAATTTTTTTGAGACAGATAGTACTTTCTTTTGGTGGTATTTAATCACCTCTGGGTTTTTTTATTTTTTTGCTAAACAAACCAAAAACAACTTAAAAGTTTGAAAAAAAAAAACTTTTTTCTTAGTTTTCTGTTATAAAAGTTTGTAAATAAGTGATTTTTCTCCTTAATTGATGTGTGCTAATGAGGCTGCAGTGATGGGCACTGAAAGGCTACACTGATGGGCACTGATGAGGAGGCACTGGTAGGTGGCACTGATGGGCATTGACAGGCATCACTGATGGGCACTGAAGGGCAGCACTCATATATGGCACTGATAGGCAGCACTGATAGGTGGCACTGATGGGCACTGATGAGGAGGCACTGGTAGGTGGCACTGATGGGGCATTGACAGGCATCACTGATGGGCACTGAAGGGCAGCACTCATATATGCACTGATAGGCAGCACTGATAGGCGGCAACTGACGGGGTACTGATAGGAGGCACTGATGCGCACTGATAGGTGGCACTGACTGGCACTGATAGGTGGCACTAGTTGGCAGCACTGATATAGGCGGCACTGACTGGCAGTGATAGTTGGCACTGAAAGGCAGCTCAGATGGGCACTGATATGTGGCATTGATGTGCACTGATAGGTGGCATATGGCATTGATGTGGCACTGGCAGGTGGCATTGATGGGCACTAACAGGTGGCGTTGATGGACACTGACAGGTGGCACTGATGGGGCTACACTGATCATCAGTGCCCTCTGAGTAATGCCGAGTACAGGCTCTCCTCTGCTCACAAGCTGTCAGCGTGACAGCTCGTGAGGAGAGGAATGCCGATAACCGGCATTTACTTATTTACATGCGATCAGCTGTGATTGGACACAGCTGATCACATGACAGAGCCAACATCATCTGCTCTTTCTGCTGATCGAATGATCCGCTGTGTCCCGGGGACAGAGCGCACCCCCGATTCCCATCCTGCACAACCCCGGGGGCACACACACGCAGTTAGAGTGGGAGGACGTCATATGGCGCCCACCCAGAACAGGAGAACCACCTTGCGTCCGTCATTTGCTTATATGTCATCTCTTTATGCCTGATTGATTCCTGTTCTGCAAGACACTCATCTAATAGATAAGATAAAGGAAACACCAATAAAGCACTGACAAATATTCCAACCTTTACTTTCTATTTACAAAAAAAACAAAATTGGGCTAGAGTAGGGCACTCTGTGGTACTCTGTGATGTTGTCATACTGAAATTTGATAGTAATTATCTGAATTGCTTATTAGCATTGTATTTCCAGCTTTTTGGTGACACACAACAGCTATTCAAATGTAATTTTTTTTTGTCATCCAACTACATAAAAAAAGACACTTAAAGCCTTCCATTGTTGACCTCTTTCTGAAAATAGTGTTGCTTGTCTGTTAGTAAAGTTCAAAAAACAAAAAGTGGGCCCCTGGAGGATTAAGCCATATTGTGCAGGTATACTAGCACATTATGACAGGCTTACCTTAAATGAAGCCCTTTAGCAGCGCACGGTCACTGCTGTCATAACTTCTGTCTTCACCCAGTCTTCTTTCAGGGTTCACAGACTCTGGCCGTTTAAACGGCCTTGCCATGATGACATCACTGTCACGGCACAGCGCTCTCAATAGACGCCATACTCCAGTAGGCCATCTATTCAGAGTATAGTGCTGATGCGCTGGTGAGGTCACTAGCCCCTACAATGTGTTTAGGAGATATTCACTGTACCTAAAGGTAAGCCTTTTTATAGGCTTACCTGTAGGTACAAGTCATAACGTGGACTTTGCTACCTCTTTAAGTCGATTCACAAGCTTTATCTGTAAATCAGTTTTGGGCTGGTGATTCAAAGTATGGAAGCCAGGGACTTAACCTCCCTAGCGGTATGATTATGTCCATATTTCTGTACTCAAAGCGGTACATTTTTTTGCATAGAAATATGTATTTTTTTTATTGTAGGCCTGTAATTTTTAGGAATAACTCACTGAAATCTGTCCAAACAAGAGTCTAGTAAACATCCCAGGTATGTTAAAATTTGAAACACGAAATCATAAATTATAATATAATAAATAATCATAAAAAATAATAATATAATAATAATAAATTTAATTCAATAATATAATCAAACCAAAAACACTGAAATTTGAAATAGAGTGCCAAGTTCGCACATCACTGAGCAAAGTCGCAAAATCGTTTTCAGTGTCTGATGACGAATTTCCCCACAAATCATTATCACTCAATTCTGCAAGTAGTTCTGATTTACTATCGCTGTTCTCTAGCTGGTCTAAAAACAATTTTGACCTAAAGGGACGCTTTTTGAACACCATGGATGTTTCTCAGTTTCCAGGCAGAAAGAACAGTAAAAAATGCAGGCAGGGCACAGGACAAAGCACTCGGGACAAAATGTATGTGAAATGGTTTGGTACAGTAATGTTTTACTTTGTGATTTTTGTGTATTTAGTGAATGTCACTTTTGGTTATTTTCAAATTTCCCGCCGTTCCATCCCCCGTAGGTCCCGATGCTCGCAGGGGACGGAACCCAGAAGACAGATACCGGCATCCGCGGGAAGACATTACAGGGGACACTGCAGGAGGGACATCGTGGGAGCGCAGGACAAGGTAAGAGAAGAACAAATCCTGGAATAGCGGCGCATGGTAAGCCCGAGTGTAGCTCTGGGTTACCGCTTCTGGTACTGAAACTTTACCCCGAGCTACACTCGGGAATACCGCCAGGGAGGCTACCCGACAGCTAGACAACTAGTATTTTTAAATCAAAGTCAGCAGTATCAAACTCAATGTTTCTCCCAAGGTTTCTTTTTAAAATCTTAAAGTCACAAACAGGTTAATTTCATGTTACTGGCACATTTTTATTGCTGCCTGAGGTCACATTGGGAAGATTTTCCATTACTGATTCTATGCTCATGAGAGAAAACCTGGAGGTATTTGTAAACCATCCCCACACTAAAGACTAAAATAAAATGTTTTGGCTGCATTTCTAATTTAAAGTGATCCTGTAACCACTGAAAGAGACAATATACTTACCTTTCTGAGGGCCCATTTGTTGAAGCATCGCCACTTTGCTCCTTGCTGCTGAAGGTGTTTGACTCTTCAAGGTAGGTCACATACAGTACCTGCAACCCTAGCCTCTGTAGTAACATGAGGCACCGAGAGGGTTTAACCCTTTGAGGACCAAGGGACGTATTTGTCCCATGTTTGTAATTGCGTGTATCATCTGATCAAGAACTTAAAACTCTTTTTTTTTTTTGGTTTGAGTCAAAATATTAGTTCTTATCAACAAATGGATCTAGCTTTTTGCCAATTATTTCATGAAATGCCTTAGTTACTGCAACTGAAGTGTACGAACTTTAAAAACAAAAAAATTGATTCTTTTGGCTTTCCTTACGGTCCTCAAAGGGTTAAAGCATATCCAGCTGGGGAGCAGGTACTCACACACCTAAAATTGGGGACAGGGAAAAATCAGAGCGGCGCTGTTTCTAAACATGGGCTGCCAAAAAAGGAAATATATTGCCACTTTTATTACAAGGTGCACATTTTGTAAAAGTGACCCTGTGACTTTAAGTTGCTGTAGCAAATTTATTTGACAAAGTTATCTTTTCCTTTAAATTTCTTTTAATTGCTACAGACTACAATTAATTACACCAGGGTATATGCTTGTTAGAGTAATGAGATGTACTTGCAAAATGCTTAACAGAAAGTGCTAGGAGTGAATTATTCTCTCATTTTCAAAGCATGAGCGGTGCATTTTGAATATATACAGCAACTGAGCTAATCAATGCTTGCAAATATGCTCTGTGGTGTGTTGATCCAGAAGGCTTGCAAAAACTGCTTACTACTAGTTAAAATATTATTAATAAAAATGCTGCCATCTTGAGGCCTTAAAGCTGAATTCCAGGAAAAAAAGCTGAAATAGCTATATTTATTATTATTATATTATACAGTATTTATATAGTGCCAAAGGGTTTGCTCAGCGCTGTATGTGCTATATGTGAACTGTCTCAACCTGCCAAAAGATGCGTGATTCTGCTTAGACAATATCTCCCCAACTCTCTGGCTTAAAGTGGCATTAAACCCAAAACCAAAAATGAATATACTGCAGCTTACCAATTAGATGAGGTAGCTGTATTTGTTTTCTTTTTTATGTCCCCCCACCCCACTGTGTTTACCTGGTGATCTGGCCAGTAACACACCTGTATTAGATTGCCCCCACTCTGGATGAAGGAGCACAGGGGCACCTTTGGACAGCAGCATTTTCAGTCTGGAGGGAAGGGAGTGTTACATGTACTAACAGATTTAAATAGAGTAACAAATTGCAGCTGAACTCCAGGTACCACTTTATAATCAGGTACAGCAAACAAGTTATTTTTCCTTTAGGGATAAAGGTTTTACATACTGTACCAGCATATGACAATAGAAAAAAGAAAGCCTAAAAAAAAAACTAATGCAATCACCACATCTAAGATTTGGTAAGGAGCAATATAATAAATGTTTGATTTTGGGATCAATACTGCTTTAAGAGTAAAGTAACTTAACTGCTTCCCGTCTGCCCTATAGCAGAAATACTGCTACAGGGTGGCAGAGGTGTGCAAAATCACGTACAGTTGTGTTCAAAATAATAGCAGTGTGTTGAAAAAAGTGAATAAAGCTCAAAATCCTTCTAATAGCTTTTATTTCCATCCACACAAATGCATTGGGAACATTACACATTCTGTTCCAAATCAAAACATGAAGAAAAATATATCAAATTTGTGTTGTTCCTCTAAAAAAAATTGAAGAAAAGTGAATATTAGACTGTTCAAAAAAAAAAAAAGTGTGTTTGTATTCTTCTTTACAAACTCAAACATTCACTATATAAACTGAAAAATGTTTGAAGATTTTGCTTTCCTTTGAATCACTTAATGAATATTTAGTTGTAGTCGCACTGTTTCTGAGAACTGCTGTACATCTGTGTTGCATGGAGTCAACCAACTTCTGGCACCTGTGGACAGGTATTCAAGTCCAGGATGATTGGACTACATTCCACAGTTCTTCTCTATTTCTTGGTTTTGCCTCAGAAACTGCATTTTTGATGTCACCCCACAAGTTTTCTATTAGATTAAGATCTGGGGATTGGGCTGGCCACTCCATAACGTCAATCTTGTTGGTCTGGAACCAAGATGTTGCACATTTACTGGTGTGTTTGGGGTCGTTGTCTTGTTGGAAAACCCATTTCAATGGCATTTCCTCTTCAGCATAAGGCAGCATGACCTCTTTAAGTATTCTGATGTATTCAAACTGATCCATGATCCCTGGTATGCGATAAATAGGCCCAACACCGTAGTATGAGAAACATCCCCATATTATGATGCTTGCGCAACTATGCTTCACTGTCTTCACAGTGTACTGTGGCTTGAATTCAGTGTTTGGGGGTCGTCTGACAAACTGTCTCCGGCCACTAGACCCAAAAAGAACAATCTTACTTTTATCAGTCCACAAAATGTTGCGCCATTTCTCTTTAGGCCAGTCAATGTGCTCTTTGGCAAATTGTAACCTCTTCAGCACATGTCTTTTTTTCAACAGTGGGACTTTGCGGGGGCTTCTTACAGATAGCTTGGCTTCACATAGGCGTCTTCTAATTGTAACAGTACTCACAGGTAACTTTAGACCTTCTTTGATCTTCCTGGAGCTGATTGTTGGCTGAGTCCTTGCCATTTTGGCTATTCTTCTATCCATTCGAATGGTAGTTTTTCGCTTTCTTCCACGTCTTTCAGGTTTTGGTTGCCATTGTAAAGCATTTGCGATCATTTTAGCTGAGCAGCCTATCATTTTCTGCACTTCTTTATATGTTTTC